CACACACACACACACACACACACACACACACACACACACACACACACGTGGTGTACTGTTTCCATATGAGGTCCACATCATGTTTTTCTCTTCCTGCAGGATGAGGACTCTGATCCAGTCCCAGAGCTCAGAAAGGACCACTTTGAAGAGGCGATGCGATTTGCTCGTCGCTCTGTCAGTGACAATGACATCCGCAAGTATGAAATGTTTTCTCAAACTCTGCAGCAGAGCCGAGGTTTTGGAAACTTCAGGTACATATTATGACAGAACAACTGTGTCACAGAACATGTAGTCTTGGATTCTTCAAGATACAACCCTTTTTTTCCCCCCCACTTAGGTTCCCCTCTGCTACTGGAGACCAGTCTGGAGGTCAGGGGTCAGGCTCCGGGTCAGGGGGGCCAAATCTTTCCAGAGAGGAAGGCAATGACGATCTCTACCAGTGACAGAAAACTCATCATATAGTTGAACAGCTGCTAAATGTTTTCTTTTTCCACTGCTGAGCCTGGCTTCCTTATAGGAGTGATGCATAATGGGAGTGGAAATAACAAGATACAAAGGGAAAATTGGGGAAATCATAGTTGTAATAATCATAAATAATCTTTTTTAAATACTTTTAGAAACATTAATGAAACAGGAAATCAAAAAAACATGTCTATCTAGTGATGATGCTATAATAGTCAATGTAAGAACCAATAGACATGTAAGCCAGTGATAAAAGAATAAATGTGTCAAACAAAACATCAGAGCTTTGGGGTTTCACACTGTAATCTGTTTGCAATATGAAAGTTATGTAAGTTGTGTTTAAAATGTGATGAATAAATAAATTCAAATGCCATGCCTCGTAGGTTTATCTTGGGATACTGACCGCAGTTTTTTTGTACAGGTACGGTGCACGCTGGCTCACTGTCACACTGTCATGGCTTACTGGGACACTTGAATACAACCATTGTTCATTTTATTGGTAAATAACACAACTGCAACTTTAATAGTCTTAGTTCGATCTGCTTAAGTTTTAAAGGTACCAATACAACCCAACAAAATAAATCAAAAATATTATATTGTAGTAGTGTGAATGCATTTTGTCCTTGTTGTGATCTAACTGTGGACAATTTAGTTCTGAGGCCTTCATGGCCACTGAGGGTCTGGGGCTCTGGTGCAGGGGCTCTTAGTTTGGTGAGCCAGCTTTGCTAGAAAATATTGAATATTGAGCTTAACTGTAATGTTTTTGTACGGTTCACATTATTAAATACTTAAAACTGAATAAGTAGTTTTACCAGTAGTTAGTAAACACTGAGTTATCGGAAACGGCAGCCTCGGAACCTTTGTGAGTTGGCTAGAAGGAACGTGTTTCTCTGACGTACCGCTAAGGCTGTTTATTTCCGGTGAGAAGCGGAAGTGGCATCAAGGGGCTTGTGGAGGTGACCGGATGGCAGGCAGCAGATTCCTGGAAATGTTAGATTAGCACGGTACAGCAGCAAACTAAACATAATCCATTTTTTCTGTAACAGTGTCTAAACATCGTCGCTGCCATGGGAGCTCACCTGGCCAGACGGTATGTCACGGAGACGGACACCGAGCCGGACCCAGCAAGGAAGTACGAGTTCGACCCTCAGTTGGGCTTTCCAGAGAGGAGCGAGCGAGGTTTGTCATCAGAAGACACACTTCTAACGGAATACTACCTTGTGTTTATAATCACCTCGAGTGAAACAGGTTCCCCTCTCGGCCATGCTATGTTTAACCTGTCTGACGTTAGCCGAGCTAGCTCCGGTTAGCTCACCAGCTAACTGCTGTTAGAGGAGTCCAGTGTCAAGTGAGCTGCTGCAGTTTGCCCTGTCACTTCATAATCTGGCTTTCTCAAGTATTTAGGAGGACACCTGACTTGTAGCACAGCTTGCAGACAAAACATATGTTTATACTAATGAGCAATAACCACTATATGTAGATATGACATTACTGCACAGGTGTGTTTCTGTAGTATATCGATGCAGTACATTGTGCAGAATAGATGCATGTAAAGGTTAAAGTTGAAATCCACCTTAAAACTACAATTCACATACATTATATCTCTGCTGGAAACTAATTTCCGTGTGGAAAATGTAATCAAGTTTAAAGTCTGAACAGTTAAGATAAATCATATGCAGTTAATGATGGAGCAACTCGGTGTACACGTTAGAGAACCCGTGGGGACGTTGTTGTGAAATCAAGCAAAACCCTCCAGGAAGTCGATGTCAGTGGACCCCACTTAAATACCATTTAATTTACTATCTGTCTTAAGTATGGTGCATGCATGGAAAAGGCATTTGCTTCTGTTAGTGAAGATTCAAATTGCTTTCCTAACTCTGTAACGCATAATGTAACAATCGTCCACTTAGTAAAGCATTTTAAAAATAGTGTAATAAGTATAAACCCTTTCGGTCCAAGTTCATTTAGAATTTCTATTTGAGTGAAAACAAAGGAGTTGTGCTCCGAGTTTAGCAGTTTGGAGTCTTGGACTTCGTCCGATATTCTACACTAACGTGCTGTTTTTCGGAATTGTGTGCATACTTCCACTCTTGTGTGGTTACAATGGAGACAAGCTGTAATACATAAATACAGAAATCAGTTGCCTCAGTTGTGTTACCTCCTTCTGGGATAGTGACATTTAATTAAATGAAAATGTAAACAGGAATTAAAATTCCAGTATATACAGAATAGAATAGGCTCCATTGTCACAGTACCTCATCCAGCTATTTGAGTCGGTATCGGCCAGATATTGGTATCGATGCATCCTTCACGAGGTCCTTGTACGTGCACAGATGACAATAATAATTTGTATTCCTTCTTCAGAGATGGTAGCAAGTCAGGAACAGATGAACTTGGCCCAGCTGCCTTTGGAGCAGAGGGACTACTGTGCCCAGTATCTCCTGAAACTCATGAAGTGCAAGAGGGACAACTGGCCCAACTTCCTGGCTTGCAAGCATGAGAGACACGGCTGGGACTACTGCGAACACCAGGAGTGAGTATTGTTATTTGAAAGGTCTGATGTAGGATGGACTCTCCTAGACCAGGTCCTCCCGCCGTGGCCCTCAGAGCGCCATTTACTGAGATCAAGTAAAAAAAACTCAAGCTAGTTACTTTTATATCTAAATGTGCTTAAGAATTCAGATCAATAAAATATTGTTTATTGCAAATGCATCATTTTAATCACATCATCGGGTAGAGACATGCATGTTTTTCCACAGTTCGCGAGCTAACATTCCCTCGGATGCAGTGACACAAAATTGTTGCCAAATTACTTAATTGATCCTGATTTTAGTGCAATATAAATATGCTTAATTGTCAAATAATTATTAGGTATATTCTTGTTTTCTAAATGACAAAGATGTCATTTTTAAAACCTAATTAAAAACATGTTCATTGTTAAATGCAGAACACAGAAGTGTATTTAGGCGCAGCGTTCTACCGGTTGGGACACGTTTGCATCAAACATGTCGGCCAAAGGTAGAGAAAGTGCTCTGGATGAAAGCTTTAAGCTTCCTACAGTCTGCAGTTGCTAATACATGATTGGTTCACCTTTTAAAACCACTGGTATTGGAAGACCTGCAGCACTATCAGACATGTATGCAGATCTAACTCGTACTGTTCGTTATTAGTTCATAATCATGAAAAATGAAATCTAGTGGCCAAAAGCTCAGAAAACCCTAAGCTAATTAAAGTGTCTGGTTTACTCTGTTGTGTCGTAGTTTACAGTAAATATTCTAAAATTGCATAAACTAAGAAGCTAGATTTTTGAATATTAAGACTCCACAAATGAACCTATTCAAGATCCTCGATTTCAGATTTGACAAATGAACTTTAACCTTGTGATATGTATCCAGCTCGTCATTATGAACTCGTCTTTCTGCCTCCAGCTACGTGATGCGTATGAAGGAGTACGAGAGAGAGAGGAGGCTCCAGCTGAGGAAAAAGAGGGTCGAGATTCAGGCTGAAGCTGCATGATCAGTGTATCCTCGGATACTCCTCTGTATATATGTGCTTCTGTTCACAATAAACAATATGGTTTAAGCTCTACAGCCCTCCGTCTTATTAATGTCCACACGAACGCTAATCCTCTGGATAACCTCACCAACAACATGTTCAGTGTTTGGCTACAATTCTTCCATCACCATTTTATTATTAGTATTTGGATGAGTCTTAAAGGTTTATTCATTTCTGGTTGTTTTTTATTTGGTTGCAGGTGTGTCTGACAAAATGTGTATTTGCAAACTAATTTAAACAAAGTGCACATTTCAACCCTTGTTGAACCTGTAAAATGTCATTTATTCTATTAGCGACACTTAAAACTTCACACAATACATCCTCGTACAAAGCTCCGATAACTCTGGAGTCTTAGGAACACAGAGGTGATCTGTAATAACGGAGCAAAGCAACAGCAGTTTGGTTTACCTTTTTTTTTAATAAATTACTTCCAACATCAAAATGACATGCTGTCATGATTTGAAATTTAGATGAATGGATATAAAAACTAAACTGCAGATTCAGCCTCCAGACAACAGTATGAGATGGCAGAGTGGTTGGGCATCTTAACATGTATGTACAGTTTGTTATTCAGTATAAACTGAGCAGCTCAAACACTTCAATGAATCAATCAGTGTGAGCTTGTGGGTGATAAAAAGAAATTTGCACTCAATATTATCAATATTACAGGGATGGCAGACAGGAGGTAAAAGAAGATTTGGTTGTGGAGGGAGAAGGGACATTGTTAGATTCAGTCAGTTCCAGTTTGGAGGGTGGAAAACAGGAGAGCACCCTCTCATTTAGGGAGGGGGTGTATTTGACTCCTACAAGCGAGGAGCGGCGAAGGTGTCCTCTAAAGGATGAAGGGCAGGATGGGCGAGCGCAGAGGAGGGTAGTCGCGGAACTCCTTCAGGTAGCTGCGGTGTTTCCCCTTTGCCCACACGGTCATCTGGATGAAACCCACCAAGGTGAAGAAGGCCACCGGCAGGCACTGAGTCATCAGTGTGAAGCCGAACCAGGCGCCCAGCTGAACGAGGAAGAGGAGGGATGTTACACACACACACACCACAAGAGGGCAGCAGCGGTGAAATTAATTTACAAAGGTGCAGTGGTACAATATAGTATGTCATAAATGTTTCTGTCCAAAGTGTCATCAATTTGTTCTATTAGACATTTGTGTAAAAATGGTCATAATTAGCACATGAATTGGTGAGCGGAGGCGTAATGAAATGCGTTACCTCGTAGGTGTAGTTGGGGCAGGAGACCAGCAGGAAGATCCAGGTGAAGGGGTTCTTGGTTGGATAAGGAATCTTCCTGGTCTTAGACCCTGGATGAAGGAAGCAAAACAAAGAAATGTATCTTATTTTAAACCATCGACTCGTTCCTATGTTTACATTTTGGCCTAATGTCAAAACTAAATGATTCTAAATTGACCTTAAATGCTGTGAAAACCAATTATCTTCATTATCTTCAGGGTCTAAATTGGACTGAGGCTTGTTTATTCACAAACATCTACTGTTATAGGGGCACACTTAAGATGTAAAATGTTGTTTTCTTTAATTAAAAAGCATTTAAATATATTTGTACCTGGTGGACGGAGGTTCCGAAGAGCAATGTGGATGGAAAAGTTGCCGATCTGACAGAACTAAGGAAGAAAACAGTCACACAAGTGATTTAATAGAGAGACTATGAAGAACAGGGCCCGTCTCTATAAATAAACGTATTGTACACTTCTGAGGATGACAAAGAGTTGTAAAAAAAAAAAAAAAAAACTTAAATGATGAAAATGACATTTATTTCTATATTTATTTCTATCAAATTAAATAATTTACAATAAATTACAGAATTAAGTGTGAAGGTAGAACTATTCTTACCAGGAATATGATGAGGGCCAGTCTGATTTGTTGCTCGCCGTAGACTGCAACAAGAAACAAGCGACAGGAGTTACAGTGACGCTCTGGTAGACGGGTGCTGAGTGCACGGTGCAGCATACTCACTGGGTGGTGTGTACAGCGGGTGGTTGATGTAATAGGCCATCCATGCTGCAAAGCCCCAGTAGTAGGTACAATTCTGAGATGGGGAATAAGACGGGGACATTGACAGTTGATCATTGACCTTTTACTCTATGAAAGACCTCCATGACACCTTTGCCTTTGTTAATGTGAGGAAGAAGAGGTCAGAGCCTGAGAGGTAGAACGCGTCTCACCTTGAAGATGTTACGTAGCGGCATCGTACCGTGAGAGAAGCGATGCACGAACAGCGTCTCCAGCAGCCTCTTCGCGAAGTGGAAAGAGTGACACATGCAGGCGAGACTGGAAAAAGCACAAAGGCTTGTGTTAGCTTTTCTATATTGTCTATATTTCTATGTTCTATCATCGTGTAGGAGTTGAAGGGTCATTTCCACATTGATATGGACAGAGCTGGTTGAATGGAATCATAGGGGAAACTGATAATTGGCATTGTTGCTGAGAGTGAGAGAAGGAGAATAATACTCCAAGAGGACACGCCGGTCCTCTCAAGAAGGCTCCGACTATATAAAGTGTGTGAAGGCGTGTTGGAGACACTCACTGTACGACCCAGTGTTTACTGGTGGTAAAGTCATATTTGGGTGCGTAGATGAAGGGAACTCTGAAGTAGAACATCAGATAGAGGACCAGCGGACCCATGTACTCGGTCAGAAAAACCTGAAAAAAAATGAAGTAGGACAGAGTCAATTAGAGCCATAGTGTCATATCATTGATATATCGGTTTGGTGCCGTGTTGAAAGATAAATATATAATCTTCCCTCGCTTTGTCCTGTCTCTCCCGACACACACACACACACACACCTTACCCAGAAACACACCCGCCCTTTTTACCCAGCGGGAAATCTCAATATAGCTGCTCTTGATCCCACTTGTAATCTGGTGCACGCGGGCTCGTCAGGACTGTTAGACTGACAGCACATCTGTCTTTAGACGGCAGCGGGTTGCACTCACCGTGACCCAGCTGATCTGGGCTCCCAGGTCTCTGAAGTAAAAGGTCGCCGTGGTTCCCACAGGGAGATGCTGCAGAACATCCTCATCCTTCAGAGACTTCCCCTCTGAAACACACACACACACACACACACACACACACACACACGCGTTTACTGAATGAGATGTACAGTGAATTATGAGTCGGGAAGTCGTACTACATTCACTTTGAGTAGACGGAGAGACAATCACACTGTGGCTGACTTACTGGGGTCGAGGCGAATGGACTGTCTGGCCGGGTACCACTGAGGATCTGAAACAGATACGACACGACACAGACATCTTCAGACGGGACATCAAGTGAGTATTTGTATGTGCAGCTTGATGTTGAATCAGACGTATGAGACGTATGATGTTGAATCAGACGCTGCAGAGAGATGGCACTCACGGCTCTTGTGGAACATAGACTTGATCTCTCCGATAGTGGCATTTGGCTCGACCTACAATAAATGACACCACAATAAATAAGTGGAGGAACTTGTACGTGTGCACGCACCCACACACACACACAAAGGAACAGATAAACCCTGTTTTCCATTCATGATTGTGATTAGTGGTAAATTTAGCTCACATACCCCATGGATGTGGTTTATTAACAGCTGGTACTAGAGTTTTAAAGAGGCACACACACAGACAGCCAAAGTGCAAGACCTTGTGCCAGGCTGCCAACAATGTCCCAAACAACTAGCCCAAATATAAACACAACGACAACAGAAACATGAAGAGCACATAGAGGCACATGTGGACACGCAGAGTTGTTCCAGACGGGATGATGGAGCGGTGAAAGCTCCCGGTCTGAGGAGGAGTCCGCCAACGTAAAGCCACATTTAAAATATCTGATGAAACGGCTTTCTCCGACATTTGAGCAGTAAGCCTGTGTTCCCCTGTTGGCCTGGAATATGGGAGCTGAGATGCTTCTGTGAAATGTACGTCTGTATGCAATCACACTGTCCAAGCACAGGTGTGACACAGGACGAGTGTGAAAGCATTTATTCTTCATGTGTGCTGCAAGAAGCCGTTAAGTAGACGTGTGAACGCCAAAGATGGCACCGAGCAAAATAATCCAGACTGTCAACCTTCAGCGAGTTCCGGTCACAAACGTACAATTGCAAATTACGATCATGTGCTTCGACCTTTGACCCGCCCAGGAACCTGAGCCACAAGGACACACACAGAGAAAAGTGTTCAAGGTTCCAGTTTGTCTGTAACAATCTAAGGCCAAGAGACATATCTGATTACCAGCTCCAGCACCGCCCAGTATGAAACAGGGTGGTGGTGCCAGATTATTTGAGCAACTCTAGAACTCAGAGAACTGGTATTTTGCTCAAACACCATGTGACCCATCTGAAGCAGACTGAAGAGGTCTGCTGCTGTAATAGACTTGGTTTCTATTCACACGGTCCAGAGGTCCACAGGTCCACAGGCCATTTTCAGCAGGATGACATCACTGAGAAACAACCCTCTCTGTGACCCCCGCTGCCCCCCCTCTTTCTACAGGCTGTATTCAGAGTCCGTTTCATAAACCCTGACATGATACAGGACTTGAGTTTTATATCCAACTCAGTCTGTTCGTACTTAACCAGTCCCCCCCCAAAAGGACCCTCTGTCCAGATCCAGATCTATATCCGTCAAACCAGCGAAACGTCCTCTCCAATAGGTGTTAAGATTCTGCACGCTATCGCCACAGAATCTCTGCTAAGCCGACGACAGGGTGTAATCCAACGAGAGTAGAACTTTACACTCTGTGATCTTGAGGAGCAGCCTTTGATAAGAGGAGTCGAACACCACTAATGCACACATCAACAACACGCTGAACCCTCCTAATGACTCACAGGCCTGTCGGTAACACACGAAAGCCATCTAAACACAGTAACAAAGTACAGGCCAAGTACAAAGTACTGACAATAGACCTAAAACAATGAGCTTAAACGTCCCATCAAAAGACAACAGTGATGCTCTTAAATCCAAACTGTCAGCACGAGTACAGTCCACTAGTCAGTACCACGCTGGCTTGTGTTATCCCTGTTATACTGTTAAACCTCAATCAGAACGATGTGGGGGGGGGGGGTTACCCTGGACCGCGCCTTGTTATGGCCTAATATGAATTAGGACCGGACACACAGCACCTGTTGCATTTAGTAAACATACAGGCACAAGGACAATTGCATGTGCACATATATAGATGAAAAACATCTTTTTGCAGAGATGATATTAGAAAAAAAAGTGTTAACTGAAACTGAGATGGAAAGTGATACAAACAAGAAGAAAAGAAATGCGTCCTCACCTTGTCCAGGAAGCAGAGCTTGTCCTTGGTCTTGGCATCCAGTATCTCCACCTCAAAGAAAACAATGGCCTTTTTAGCTTTTTTAGCAGGTTTACGTTTGACCGGGGCTTGAGCCAGCACCGGGGCGGCCGCCGACGCCACCGCCCCGTTTGCCGGCTTTTTAGTGCTGGTGGCCTCTAGTGCTAGGGCATCCATGTCCACAGTCCTTCTCCTGCACTCGGTTTATCTTCCTTTTTTCACCCCCTTCACTCTTCACCTCTCAGCTGTCTATCCATGATTCATGCCAAACCACAGAGGAGAGGGGCAGCTCTCAGCTGTGGAGATAAATCTGTCTCTCCCCTGCTCCCCCCTCCTCCCCCCCTCATTCTCTCCTTCCCCCTCCCTCTCTGGTCATTCCTTCACTTCTGGTGCGTTGCTTTATTTAACTGCTGACTGACCTCTGGAGCGTGGACATATACCACATGTGTGTGCACAGTTGCATACACAGGAATGCCCAGCATCCCCTTGGCAAACTGTCTGCAGTAGATCATCTGTGTTACATCTCATGAAGGAAACTTCTAGAGCAGAGAGCTTTATTTTAGTGCTGCGGGGACTTGGATCTGAAACATAACTCCTCTCTAAAAAAGGACACCTGATGGCCCCTGGCACCTCTCAACTCCTGGCTAAGTGGGAAGATGGAGGGGGTTATTATGAAAAAAGCAACCCCCCCCTTTATAGTGTGTCCCCCTTTCTTCCTCTCCACAGACCCCACCCGTCTCCGTCTATGCGGTGATGTCATGGGCTCACTCTACTGTCCATCTGTCCAGCCCCCGATGTGCACCACCAACCTTTGATCTGACCAGTTCAGGGTCTCACGCGACCAAACCAAACCACATGACGTTTTACATGCGAGCGTGTTCCTCGAAAACCAAACCGATCAGGCCGGTTTCTCAGTCACTCACACGAGGAGCCGCCTTTTCCTGCCACCGAGGGGTGATAACACTCCAGATTCAGAGGGCGTAGTCGGGGCATCCCCCTTGGTGAAGCCCAAGCCCCCCACCCCCCCCCCCACGCTTCCACTCTATAATGATGCTAGACAGAGTCACAAGTGGCAACGTGGAAGTTTAGGCCGGACGTAGGAAAGCATTTTCTGTTATCTAAAAAAGGTCCTCTATCAACTTAACTCAGACAGGGACCTGAACCATGTACACCTGCTCACAGAGAGACTAACAGTAAACTGGAGCTCTCTGGGGATTTGGTTTTGGGGCCTGAGATGCCCACAGATTTAGCATATTTCTTTATTTGTGTGTTTCAGGCAAGCGGTTCAAATTTTTTGCACTTACTTTCTAAAACTATAATGCGTGCTTTTTACTTGCTGCCGTGTTACTGAAAGTAAACATGCATGTATGCTTAAACAAAGCAGGACACACGACACTGCAGTTGAGACTTAAGGGGAAATAACCCCATGGCAGGCATACCCTCTGCCACTGAACCTCCCCCATCTCATCTATATAAAGCTTCTGTCTGGCAGTGACTCTCTGTCCCGGTAGGGCACTCTGGGGTGAGGGCGAAGCGGGGAGAACCAGGCTTTAGTTATGCCGGTGGACTTCTGCTGCTCTTTGCTGGGTTTCCCTCTACCTCCTATCGCAAGGTAAGAGATCATTTCCATTCCAGATACTCATGGACAGTCAGTTTGTAAGTAAGACAGATCACTGCTGACTAATGACCATCTATTGACACTAATGGAAAACATTTACAGTTTGATTTATGTCCCAGGATATTGTGGACACATTGTAACCAAAAGATATGAAACAATCTCGACTCTAGACTTGATAAACTTGGTGGTATTTTGTGATGATCACAGATCTTGGTAGTTGTAATAGCGTAAGGAATCGTGGCCAGCAGTGGCTACTGTCTGTGCAGCCCACACCATCTGCTAATATGTGGCTAACCCGTCAGTTTTTGTGACACAGATTATGTCGTCACTCATCCGAGTGTACACTATGGTTAGAATGTGCGCACGTCATTGGCCTCATAGCGGCTTTACACAGACTTCCAACATGTGCACGCTAGTGGTATTCAAATGCAGCCGAGAGGATGGCCGATAATTGAAGATGCCTGTCGGAGCAAACGCTGCAAAAATGCCTATTTGGAGCATTATCATAGGTTTCAATGGCCATGAATGGATGAGTCAAGCAGATGGATTGGGGATCACAGGAGTGGCCTATTGCTGTCACATTGGCCATTAAAAAAAAATTAACTTTGCAACTACTGAATGAAAACATGGCATACATCTTTCATATCTCAAGTGTTTTTCACCCCCTCATAGGTTGCAACAGCCTCATCTGTGATCAACAGAAGGAAGGAGAACCGCAGCAGCCGCTGGTTGGGTCAGTTTCTGTCGAGGCGACTTCAAATCCTGTCTGATGGGTTTTGGTGCTCATGCTTTAGCTTTCAGTAGCTGCAGCAGAAGGCTTACAGCCATTGTTTAAGTGGCAGTGGACTCCTTCCACATTCATGATAACAGAGTGAAACAGGCCTGTGTCAGGAGTGTGGATGTTTCTGGTGACACTTAGCCAAAACATTGTTTTAGGTTTTTCTTTCTGAGCAAGTTTAACAAGTCTTGCACGCTCGACTGTTCACCTGCATTATTGAGCAATAACAAGATAAGAAGCGCCATGCGTCGCTCCAGCCACAGATGGCGATGATGAGCTTTATCCCAAACGGAGGACTCCGTGTTAAGCTAACAGAGACGTTCAGCGTACATCGAAAACTCAACAAAAACGCAACGCAAGTCTAATTCATCGCACATGTGGCAGCAGCTTGACTTTCGTCGATATCAACCGATAGAAGCGGTCGTTTCCGTGCACGAGGCCGTTAAATCCGGCGGCGTTGCTGCAGAATGCGATCCTCTCGTGACTGTTTCTGGTGGAGTTCATCCTCACAAAAACCACAGAAAAAATCCGAATTAGTCTGATTAATACCATTCTGGCTCCATTGATGATTTGGAGTTCCACAGACACTACTTACCTCGTAGTGCTTCATCCTGGCAGTTAGCACCCTCTTTCCTCAATATCCCAGATGAGTGACAGAGCCGTCTCCAATCAGCGGAGTGAAGTGTGTCTGCTGAGGCCACCGTAGGCGGGCCCGACGTCCGTCACGCAGCCAATCAAAACTGGCGACACTGTCAGCGACGTAGCCAATGAGATTTGAGCAGATGGCGAGGTCGCGGCTATGCTAACGTAATTGGATGTATTGCTCTTTGAGCAGCAGCTCTGTCTGTTTGTATGCAGGCTTACTGATCCAACCAGCAACGACAGACTGAGGACCACTTCTCTTAAACTGTATCGAAAATTATTTATCAATCTGTTGACGTTTCCCAATTTAATTTGCAGACTAAATGCTATTATTTTTCCAATTCATTTTTGCAGTCTTACTCAATGTTATGCTCCTACATTATGTACCCCCCCCTCCACTGCACTTCATATAATATCTTTATTTGTTTTCTCTTGTTTAAATGCATTTATGTGTAGATTGTGTTTTCCTTGTGCATAAATTGACCTGCAAAAATAAAGTTTGCCATTTGCCTGGTATGTTGCCACTGTAAGGCAACACTTTCTGAAACTGTCAAGCTATGAAATGCTTGTATTAGTCAGGCACACTGACCCAAAATATTTTTCTTGTGCTGAAGGCACCATAATTGTGTCAAGTATTATTGTCCAATACACTTACATACACAGGGACATGTGTAAGTTAATACTTTGAATGGATACCCTACAATATACAAAAGCATAACCAGGAATTATAGCCTTTCCAAAAGAATATTGTGTGAGCTCCACCTTAAAAATCCACTGTAGCGTATGTGGATCTGTGGAAGTCTTAACACCTGCAGAGATATTTTAAATATAAAGACTGGCAACCCCTCTCTCATCCCTGACAAACCGGTTTCGTTTCACTTGTCAGACAGAGACTGCCCAACAAATCTCAGAGTGACATCTTTGTGTAAAAGCCACAGCAAGAGCTGAAGCATGTAGTCTATTGTGTTGTCCATGGAATCTGAAATGCTGCCTTCATGTGCTACTCGTACTCTTGTCACTTTTTGTAAGTCACGCAAAGCCTTGTTACAGGACATGAAACAAATCAAAGGGGAATTTTGTCCAATAAAACCATTTTCAACACATCTGAACGTATCACCCATCCTGAGGTGTGGAAGTGTTACCTCCTGAGTCCTAATTTGGTGATATTGTGTCCGACTGGTTGCATAAATTAGATCAGCTCATGCAATACATTGGTCCATGGAACATGTACATTTAGGAATGGACATATATAGCTATTAATTACTTTAGACTATAGATTGAGATGTTACATAACAAACACATGATCAATTTATATAATATAATACACTGTTAAAACAGTCGTTTCAAACTTGCTTGCACTTTTAACTCCTTACAATAAGGGTGGGGAGTTATAAGCAGTTGCACCAAAGAGTTATTTTCATTCTAAACGTCGTACATAGTTAAACAAACTGTATGAAACAGTTAAAACTAGCTCAAACTCCACCAGTTACAAGGGTGTCAACAATCTATTAATGTCCTATTAAAATAATATATCAGCCAGAGGGGCAAAACAAGTAGCTGCATGTGTCTGAAAAACAGTACTTCTACTCAAGTAGGATTTTGAATGAAGGGCGTTTACTTGTAATGGAGTACTTTTACACTGTAGTATTGGTACTTTTATGTATAGAAAGTTAGTAAAGATCTAAAAACTTCCTCCACCAATGTTCATAGCCATACATCCCTACATAGGCAAGCGAGTTTATTAAGGAGACTGATAAGGCATGGTATGTTACTGTGCAGGGTAATTTCCGACAGCCCCTGAAGGCAGCACAACGTAACGTCCTGGTGGGCGTGTCCTGGACTTACTGTGACAGTTGAGCTTGTTCGGGCTGTGTATGGAAAACTCTGGAAGTTTCCACGCGGTTTATAAAGACAACACTCGAGGCGCAGCCGTCGGAGTAGATCCAAAGGACGGACCGAGGAGGAGCGACTGCAGTTTATATAAACAGCCCTCTGGATGGTCAAAATGGGTAAAGACTACTACGATATTTTGGGAATTGCGAAAGGAGCGTCCGAGGACGATGTAAAGAAAGCTTATCGTAAACAGGCGCTGCGCTTTCATCCCGACAAAAACAAGTCACCGGGAGCCGAGGACAAATTCAAAGAAATCGCCGAGGCTTACGACGTCCTGAGCGACCCAGATAAAAAGGACATTTACGATCGTTACGGAGAAGAAGGTAAGAATACAGTTGACAGTGAAGCTGGTTCTGTGGATGTCAACACGAAAGGGTGACAGTGTCTGACATGCATGGGACCAAACGGTTCAGTGTCATGGCGCCCTGTGCCTCAGTAAAGCCTTGTTTGTGAGCCAAGAAAGAAAGGCGTTGTTCTGCACACACGATATCACACATTTCATACAAGTTTGTACAAGACCTGACAAAGTATAACTGAAAATATGTGAACGTGAGTTCAGCAGAGGAGCTGGGAGGTTGGTGTCTGACGTCACGAGGAGGGGGCGGGGCTTAGGGCACAGTGTGCTTGTGTGTGCATGTTTGAGTGGTGTTGTCAGTGTTTGATTTTAGTGCATGGAAACCGGAGAGGTGGGGCCGCGTGACAGAAATACTTTATCTTTAGTGTTCTTACCCGTTTAGTAACCGTGGTAACTTTAGCAATGACGTAGACTTGCAGATGAATGGAAGTAACCCTCATTTGTGAAAGTCTTACAAACTGTATTAAGAAATTAAACTTGAGATCAAAGTTAAAGACACACACACACACACATAATGCCACAATGAGTGTTGCATTACTTTGGTTTTAATATTGAGTGCTTGAAGTCCTTTTTTTTTCCAGTGATAACTGTATTAATTGGTTGTTTTTCTCACTCAGGTCTGAAAGGCGGAGGCCCCCCAGGTGGTGGTGGTGGTAGTGGTGGTGGTGGTCCTGGTAACTTCAGCTACAGCTTCCAGGGCGACCCTCATGTCATTTTTTCAGAGTTCTTCGGTGGACGTAACCCCTTCGAACAGTTCTTCGGTGGCCGCAATGGAGGCATGGATGAGGATATGGAGACGGACGACCCTTTTGCTCGCTTTGGGATGGCGGGAGGTGGAATGGGTGGGTTCCCTCGGTCCTTCGGCTCTGGTATGGGAGGAATGGGCCCTCACAGCAGTGTTGTGAAGAAGCCTCAAGACCCCCCCGTGGTTCACGATCTCAACGTGACCCTGGAGGAAGTTCTGTCAGGTTGCTTAAAGAAGATGAAGGTGTCTCGTAAAAGGCTGGAGCCCGATGGGCGAACAATAAGGATTGAGCATAAGATCCTGGAGGTGCAGATAAAGAAAGGGTGGAAAGAGGGCACAAAAATCACGTTTCCCAAAGAGGGGGACGAGACTCCCACAAACATTCCAGCGGACGTGGTCTTTGTGTTAAAGGACAAGACGCATCTGAAATTCAAACGCGACGGCTCGAACATCGTTTACACTGCAACGATTTCACTCAGAGATGTAAGTTAAGATTGTGAAAATCACGAGTAGAATAAAGTTCCTGTCGCCGCCTTTTCAGGATCTTAATTCATGCTTTTTTTTTGTTTTCTTTCTCTGTTATTTCCCCTTCTGTTCCACCAGGCCTTGTGTGGCTGTACGATCAACGTGCCCACGCTGGACGGCAGATCGGTGACCGTGTCAACGACGGATATCGTGCAGCCGGGGATGAAGCGGCGCATCAACGGCGAGGGGCTGCCTCATCCAAAACGCCCCGATCGTCGAGGCGACCTATTGGTGGAGTATGAGGTCAAGTTCCCAGAACGGCTCAGCCAGAGCGCCCGGGACACCATCGCTCGGGTCCTCCCGCGATCCTAAACAAGACCAACGGACATCCAGGACTGTCAGAACTATCACACTAAGCTGCCGACTATTTTTTTTTTTTTTTTTTTTATCAGTCATTTTTCATGTGGCTTTATAAATCACATGAGACAATACAGGACAGACTTTGTAAAAATGCTTTTTGAGAATGACTGCAGCATTTCACAGGGTAACATGTAAATATGACTAATGTTTTGTGTTTGATACTGAATAAGATTCTATTTTGATGGAAATAACTACAGTGTACTGTATTATGCAAAAATACATGTGCATATAATCTGTTTTATTTGTATTAAAGGTTCAACACTTCCATGAAAGATGTTATGTTTGTTTGTTTGAATGACCAGCGTCACAGCTCAAATTCAACTAAAAATGTGTTTGTAAACTGATGATGCAACAACAGGCAGTACTTATTGCTGGACTGAATTTTCAAGCACTGTTATGAAAGAAGAAATGGAAACTGGTGCTGGAAAGATGAACCATGTCAACACAGTAACTTGTGCATAATGGACCGTGATTGATTTGATGTCTCAAAACATCGTACGACACAAGACGACAAGCCTCTCTCATATCTGAATTAAAGAAAAACCAGATCCAACGTGTTAATTAGTGAGCTTTAAAGATACTCGTAGGCAGATTTCAGTCTTAATGCTGAGCCAACAGTCTGCTAGCTACAGCTTTGTAACGGTCAGATATGAGAGTGGTGTCAATGTTCTCTAAATTTCTGCCAGAAAGAAGATTTTGTGGAACGAGTGTCAAGGCCTTCCCCCTTCAGTTGGTGAGTGTGAACACTGCCCTCTGGTCTTCTTCTGCTCCATGAAGTTCAAACATCCAAATGAAGCAACACAGAGAAAAGCATTAATAATGCTTTTTAATAAAACTAAATATAAAATTCAGTCCCCCTTCTCACGCAAATCATTCTCATACAGTCCCCGAGGACTAAACTGTCTGGCTGGTATATTGTCTGACGGCAAGCTAAATGCTAAACTAAGACAAGATTATCCTTTATTATTCCTGCTGTGGGTAAATTTACAGGAGCCTGACAGGAGGGATGTGCTTCCATGGCCGCTTAGAACAAATTCAATCCTGCTACATCTTCTGGAAATACCCCTGGTATTCAGAAGTTGCCCTCAGGCTCTGGTCCCCGTGACACCGTCAATACACATCCAGCTTGTTTGATGCCCTCCAGCTTCATGTGCTGTGGTTGCACTGTGGCACGCAGAGCCAGCTGCCAGAGAACAATAAGTGTAAACACGTATGTTTATATATAAAAAAAAAAAAAGAAGTACAATCACAGCTTTGTAGCTTTTCTGGATCTTTTAAGGCACTCATGTTTCATGGCATTGAATCAGAAGACTTATTCGGAGCAGCCCGCTGCTTTCCCCCCCCCAACACTGCAGACTAAACTTTTCATTTACTTGGTTTTTAACCTCGATAAAGAATGAGGATTCTTCGTGTCGTCATGTTTTGCTGCTTCTCCGGTGAGTTTTGATGTATCTTTTTTATTAACATTCATAGAGACAGGTTTTATTTGTCAAATTTACACTCTGAATGTATTAACTTAGTAGTAATGTGTTCATTCATTTGAATGCTTCCCTGTCAAGCAATTCATCCACATCTCCACATTAATTTCAGTGGCTATAGTGGTCAGCAGCTGTAACCATGCACTTGGTTTATGCTGCAGTTGCATGTGCAGAGGCTTCAGCAGTGCTGGAGGTGACCGGCCATGTCGGAGCAGAGGTCTCCATCCACTGTTCTGGTAGCTGGACCACAAACAACAGCTCCCAACACCACAACATGTACTTCTGCAAAGGAGTCTGCTCCAACGAAAGCATTCTCATTCAAACTGCGAGCAAGAGGTCGACCGTCACGCAGCGAGGGAGATACGGCATGGAGGCCAGCGGAGGAGATGGAGCCTTCAGCGTGACCATAAAGAGGCTGCAGAGGACAGACGCAGGGACATATCACTGTGGAGTGGAGGGAACTCTTAATGTGTTGCACCAGGAGGTCAAGCTCATAGTTTTAGATGGTAAGTTTATGGCTAGATGTATTAACATTCCTGCAGGAAATGGGACGTTTTGGGATAACAATGAACAATATCTTCTATTTAGGATTTTGCATGAAACTAATCTCAAAGTGTTGACTGTAGGTTACTCTATGATCATTGGGTCATGTTGTCAGGACTGACTAGTGTCTCATACTGATTCTGTCTTCAGGATAAAACCAACCACAGCTGTATGAAGCTGACAGCCGGGTGTTGCTTTGCGTGGAAAGCCTGAAAATATTCTATGTAGTGTATCTTGTTATTCAGCAATGTCACATGAGCACACAGAATGTATTACCACTCAAGTTTGTCCTGTTATTCCAAAGCTTCCACTGTTCCTCTCGGATCTCCTCCGTCCACCACCCCCCTTCAGCCTGAAGCGGAAACTCTGCCCCAAGGCAGCTCTGCATCTGGCACTGAGCCATCAGCAGCAGCATCGACGCTGCCCGCTACAGAGGACAAGACAAACCAGACAGCAGCAACCAACCTCAAAGGTATTTACAGCCACAGTCAGAAGCTGTTCCCTTCTAGCAAGCTTCGAACCCCCAATAAACTATTGGAACTAATCGTGCCGTGATCAGTTTGGAGAAGAACTTAAAGGCCCCCTCTGCACCCCAAAAGGTGTTTGACTTATTGTTACTTCACTGTGAGTGACAACAGAGGGCTGTTTTTAAATGTGTTTGCTGAAGGTGGAATCTTAAATTTGAGTGTTGATGGTTTTTAGATACATCTGCCTGGAAGCCAATGTGTGATGTGGAAACGTTCTATTTTTAGAAGAGGCAGAGTTTCCAGTGCAGTTTCAGTGAGAAGTGGCTCGATACGTTTGGTTCTGAGTAAGGGGCAAAACGACTGGAAAAAATGTGTTGCCGTCTTGCTCTCACCCTAACCCGCATGTTCACTTGAAGAACTTAGTACCAGGATTTGTATTTTTATGCAGAAAATCATGTGAAGATGAGTCAAAACTATTAAGAATATAAATATCAAGGACTATTTAGTCATTTTGTTTGGAGGACCTGTTGTAAAGTAAACTGTATCGTCACAAACGCATGTCTGACTGTGCAGACACCACGGTGGTCATCATTGTTTCGGTGAGCCTGGCTCTTCTGGTGTGTGCCATCATACCTCTAATATTCTACAGACACTGGTGGAGTAATGCAGGTGAGGTGACACCCACACACTGCTTTCATTCCATAGTGTGATCTGACACCTAAGCAGAGCATTCACATGAGTTTTAATGAATCCTGTTGCTTGTTTGTTTCAGAAGGTCAGAACAAGGGTGAGGTGAGCGACCATTTTGTCATTAATCGGCTTTAGTTTTAGTTTAAATGTTCATCAAGCAATAAGTTTACTGCTCAGATAAAATCTTTCTAAATGACAATTCTTATTTATTTACAGCCTGAACACTGTGAGGAAAATGCAGATGTTGCCTCTACTCAGGCTGCAGTGAGGCTGCAGTCTTCAGATGCCGATCCAGAGTCCAGTATTCACAGTTCCTCCCAGTACGCTTCAGTCTACCAGGCACTCAACCCCAAAACTCTGGACTGAACAGGGTGTATTCTGTCTTTGACCTCACAGCTAATCTCACGTTCTTATTATGAATCAAATAAAGGACACGTCTTTGTATAGCATGCTCATGTTCTTCCTTTGGATGTCTGTAAAGTTAATTCTCTGTTTCTTGCGATGATAATCATCGGTGGCGTCATCTTCCAAAATAGGAACAAGGTCAGTAAGATTTTAACCTATTCACACAACTCTGTTAGATACATTTGGTGCGGCCTGGTGAACGTGAATACGGTGTTGTTAACGGGGACGAGGCTGATATGTGACGCACGCAGGTATGCAAGATTTAGAATGCTTAAAACTAATTAGAAACAAATACAATATATGCATTTAATCTATCATAATTAGATGAAAAGCACAAATGACAATAACTTAGCTTTTTCTCCTTATAAATATCTGTTTTTCAACTAAATAAAGCACACTGCACAGAAAGCACTGCTGGACTTGCTGCATCTGTACATTTCTGGGATTCTGAGCTTCATCAAATTCAAGGCAGTGGTGCAGTTAGACCTGCAGAGGGTGCTACATACATTTGATCTCACTCTGGAATTGGACCCCATAGGAGGCAATTAAAAGCATAAATATAGAATTAAATGGTGTTGATAATATCTTGCTTTTATCAGCTCCACCAGTGTCTATTTAGAAGATCTAGTTTCATGTTCAAACGAAGGCAGTGAGTTTATGCAGTGACCACATTAACAATTATTAATCACACCTCTATTTTCTTTCCACATGCACAGGCTTGCAGTATGTTGCCGTTTGTGTAGCGTCACTCTGAGTCACTAACTTTCCATGAAATAAACATTCTTCACATTTACAACCTACAGTTTTAACACCTTCACCCAACAGTGGACAACCCAGAGACGTTCAAGCTCAAGTCTTATAACTACAAACCTTGTGAAAGTCTCTGTCTGCCACCTGTTCTTTAAATAACAATAGTCATTTTCTGCCTTTCACACGTAGCCTTCGTGTAACTGAAGGCACACTCGGAGAGTGTTTTGGCCACACACATTCATAGACACAGCATCAAAAAAACAATGAGTCACTTTTAGATGTCAGGTGTTAGCACTAAAATAGAACATTGCAATGTTGTGGTATCCTTTGGTTTACATTTGGATCAAGACTTGTGCTTAGAATTGCTCGTAGGTGTTTGTGAATGAACAACTGAAGCAGTAGTTGGGGATCTATGCTTTTTGGCAGAGAGTCGATACGTGTAAGGCTGCAGCCAGCAGCCCGTTAGCTTAGCATACAGACAGGATCCAGGCAGCAACAGCTTACCGTCTCTGTTGAAAAGTAACCAAATCCACCTAACGGCACCTCTAAAGTGAGTAAATATAAAAACAGACAGAGCCATGCTAGCAATCCCCCCCCCCATGTTTACAGTCTTTATGCTAAGCAAAGCTAACCAGCTGCTGACTGTAGCTTCATATCTAACAGAGAGACATCAACCATCTTGTCTATTTCTATAAGCAAAATGTATAATTCCTTGCCAAACAATGGGGCTTTTTTAAAATAAAAAAATAATTTACAGTTTGTTCCAGAGCAACATTATTTCGAGTCCTATTTCTGTCCACGTCAATATTTAGTCTCTTTTAGCCTCTTTTAGCTCTGTTTTTGTTCTTTACTGACTCCTGTGGGGAATATTTGTCTCTTTAGTTACTAAACGCTCCACTATGTTCACCAGCTAATTGCAGGTAGGGTACATCAGGTTTTAGAGCCTTTTCCACTGATTACAGGTGCCTGCTGTGGCTGAAAATGACGCTATAAGAGGTGTGAGAGTGATCCCAAACAGGGCTGGACAGATGAACAGCTGAAACTCACTATAACACTCCATACAGCTGAGGGGGAGCTACGGCTTTAGGTGATAACTCTCTCTGGGTTCATCATTACGAGTGAGCCCTTTCACATCGTCATTCAATACATTGCTATTATATAAATGTAAATTATAGCCACTTTAAAACAGCTGTGCCAAAGCAACTGGAACTTTTCATTAGCAGGCCTGCTGTCGTATCAAAGTGAACTGAATCTTTATTTTAAATTTACATATGCTTAGTTTGAATTGTTTGTTCAGGTTTTTGTAGTAGACATGAGGAAAAGCGTCCGTATTGAGTTTCAGTTCTTTGCTTTCAATTCAAGCACAGGCTCCACATTATGATACCAGCAATTGAAACTACGTGTGGGCTTGCATTGGAAATACGGGTCTTCTCACTTCACCTTGGCCCACGCATGGTTCTCTTCTCTCAGGTTAACGTCAGGCTACGCTCATCGTCTTCCGCTCTCGTACAGTCAAAACGACAGGAAGAAGGTCGATAGT